TGGCAAATAATGGCAGCCCCCCCCAAAAAAAATTGCCCCACAAGCCACAAAATCCTGGCTAAGGGCTCTCGTCTCCTTTCTTGTTTGGTGTAGTGGTTTGGTGTAGAACCAGTTTGGTGTCGTGGTTAAGTGGGCGGACTCTAATCTGGGAGAATCGGGTTCGATTCCCCACTCCTCCACTTGCACCTGCTGGATGACCTTGGGCAAGCCGTAGTTCTGACAAGAGCTGTCCTTGAAAAAGAGCCGTTTCTGTCAGAGCTCTCTCAGCCCCACCCGCCTCACAGGCTGTCTGTTGTGGGGAGGGGAAGGGGAAGGAGTTTGTAAGCCGCTCTGAGACTCCAAGTGAAGGGCGGGGTATAAATCCAATCTCTTCTTCCTCTTCTTCCTCTTCCTCTTCCTCTTCCTCTTCTTCCTGCCTTCAGGCTCCTGGGCCTTCATAGCATGAGGACGCTGGCTGCTGCTCTGCGATCGCAGAGTCCCGGAGGAATCAGTCCCAGGCCAGCAGTGAATCTTCCCACTGTGAGGGCAGCCTACACGCAAGGAGTGATCTCTCCCACTCCCTCCCTTGGGTCTGGACCAGCACCGCCGCACGCTGAGAGTCACAGTGGCCATGGTGGGCAGAAGTGGGAAGGAAGACGGCAAAGTGCCAGCAAGCCACCCGCCCGATCGGCTGGCTCGATTCATTTACGAATCAGTGTTCCTGAGACCCCTGCCAAAGCGTTTGTACAGGTGCCTTGCCAGCCCGGGAACGGATGCCAGGGACTCCGTGGCTGGACAGACAAGCATTAAAAAAAAAAAAACAGTAATATGCTGCAACTTTCCCTTATCTCCGGTAACACAGACGGGACATTTTCCTAACAATTTTGGAGTGGGGAGGCAAAGAGGTTTTGCCAGGAGGAGGCCCGGTCTCTCTCTACAATCTAAGCCGGGGTCCCCAACACCGCCACCTTTTCTGGTACCTGCCCAGTGTTTGTAGGAAGTGGGTGGGGCTAGGTAGGGCTTTTGCCGAGCGAGGTTTCTGACTGGCTACGCAGATTTTTTTTAAATGTTGCTTTGGCAGCAGCTCATGTCCCCTCTAAGCTGTGGAGTCCTGTGAGCAAAAATTCTACTTTGTGAGCCCTTGGCAATAAAGCTGTGAGCAAGCAATTTGGCTACTGCATAAATGATAGGGTTGCCAAGTTGTAATTTCTCTATGGCGGGGGACTCCCGCCCCGCGGCTGGAGCGTGCGCGCTGCATGCACGTCACCCGGAAGTGACGTGACAACGCCGGGCATGCTGGGGGCGGGGCCACAACCATCCGAGGGAAAACCATAGAGTTTTCCCTCGGATGGCCGTGGCCCCGCCCCCAGCGTGCCCAGTGTGGTCGCGTCACTTTCAGGTGACGCGCACGTCGGGGTGGAGTTCCCCCCAGGGCCCGATCCGCCGCCGGCGGGGAACGGGCCTCTGGGGCGGGGATTTCCCTGCCCCCCGGGGGGACTTGAGAAGCCTAATAAATGAGTTTGCTCTGGAGCCCTCCTGCCTGAGCTGAGACAAAAAATGTGTGAGCTGGAGGCTAAAAAACGGTCAGCTAGCTCACACTGACTCAGCTTACAGGGAACACTGGCTGCCACCACAGCACAAGGATGTACACTGGGTTCCTGAAATTAAGCTGTGGCAGCCATTTTGTGGCCTGCTCTGCCTCCGGCAGCAGCCATTTTGTGGCAGCCATGGTGCTGTTCCGCCCACCGCACCATGTCAGAATTCCAAATGTGCCTGTAGGATCAATAAGGTCGGGGACCCCTGATCTAGGCCGTATCTCTCAAGCCTCCCATTTTAAGCAACCTAGGCACAGAAGGCAATGAACCAAAGGACTCTCCTTATTATCTAAACTGACAGGGCTCGATCCCACGATAAACTCCCACGGAGGAAAGGGGGAGGTGAGTCTTCTCTCCTGCT